GAAAGATTTCTGGTTTGGGAGTAGGTTAGAGATATATCCCGACTAGAGGCCTTCAGTGACTTGTCAATGCCACAAAACCCACAACACACCCTAACTATGGTGAGACCTAAGCCGAGACTGGGTACATCATATTTATAATAAAACTTCACAAATTCTAATCCCATCACTTAGCAGTAGTCACTTAAAGTATCCCAGCATTGTTATCTTTCAATGGTTTGGCTGCCCTGCTGCAATAAGAATACCCAAAGAAATTAAGGGGTCTAGAAAAATCTATATACTATTGCTTTTGTGTGCATCAAACATACTGGGAGTCTGGGATTGGTCAGGTAACACACCAAACCATGTTCTGGCTCTATGTCAACAAGCTACGTGCTTGCTCTCTCCCTCTCTCCCCTCAAGCAGTCAAACTGTGACTTCTAATGTGGTGCAAATCACAATTTGTTGTTACACATGAAATGGCAAACTATGACATGTGCTTCCCCCCTCTAAACAAGGACTGCAAACCAGAAACAAATGATGGCTTGAAATCACAGTTTGCAGTACAAATGCAAACCACACTCTGTGGTTTTGATGTAACACCAAATCTTGCTTGTGCTAAAGCAGAAGACAGCGGCTGTTCACAAAGCACAAAACCCATGATTTGGCATTACACTTGAATCATGTCATAGTGTTCATTTATACCATCTCTGAATACATATTAAGATTTAAACAGAAATGCATACACATACCTGATCATATTCTGAAGCTCCCGGATACAGAGGCCAACCAAGAAACAGCTCAGCTATCACACAGCCCAACGACCACATATCAATAGCTTCACAAAACGGTAAACCCAAAATTATTTCAGGGGCTCTACAAAACAGAAAGGATGCAACACTTCATCTGTTTATTGTTCAGTGAGTTCCACGGCCATGAATTAGGTAAGAATTTTATCAACTTCACTATCCAATACAAATCACAGGCTTCAGGATTATGTATTTACTACGTAAAAGTTTTCTATAATAAATTGTGATTTCCCAATTACATTAAAACTTTACATAAAATTTAACAGTTTCATTTTACTGTTGTAGCATTATTTTAGAGTACCTCTTTATCCTAAGCAATGTACATTGTTTCTATAACATGAATCATCCATTAATTTAAGCAGATCAGCTAGGGAACATGAGAAGTCTAATCCTAATCATGTTTACAAGGAACTAAGAGCTACTTTAACATAAGAGTGCACAAACTGGCACCGCAGCCTTAGGTTGCCTTGGCAGCTGCTTGGGAAAAAATACCACTGAGTTTAGTGGGAACTGCTTCTATACAAAATTAATAGAACTGAAGATTAACAGTGCAACCCTACAGAGTTACATACTTAGGGCTGCCAAATCCCCCCCGGGGGAAACCCCACCCCCGCATGCACGTCACTTCCCTGTGACATCATCACACTGGGGCGGGGCACAGCCATTTGAGGGGGAAACTATGTTTTCCCCTCAAATGGCTGTGCCCCGCCCAGCACGCACCGGGAGGCAACACAAAGTCCCCCGCCAGCACAGGTGAGTACATTTGGCAACCCTATACATACTTCTAAAATCATGAACTCCAATGGATGTGGAGGATACAACTCTGATTAGGAATGCCTTGTTAGAGCACAAACCTAACAAATCTTTCCTGGGCTTACCGGAATAAAACAGAACTGAATTCTAAGTAGATCTGCTTAGGACTGCTCCCTTAACAGTACAGTCCTAACTGTACGTAAAACACACTGAGTTCAGTAACAACAAATTCTAGGTGTCAGGTCACAACGGCACCTAGAATTTCATTGTTATACCTAGTATCTTCCAGTAATGCTTTTACTGCAGCACCTCTCAGCAAAGTACAAACCAGACTTTCTAGTGATGAAAAAAGGAGGAAGAAGTCCCCTTTGAAAACCAAAAGAGCTATGTTTGGGATAATGGGACAAAAGCCACATAGAATGAGGGATGTACCAAAGAGGGGAACAGGCTAAGATAAAGCAAAAAAGATAGCTAGATCCAATTTACCCATCTTTTCACATCAGAACACTCTGTTACATGAGATAAAAAATAATTATGCATGAAGTTCTTAATAATCATGCATAAAGTTCTTGTAATTGCTCATTTATATGTAAACTTAACCAGGGCTCTTTTTATAGAAAAAGCCCAGCAGGAACTCATTAGCATAACAGGCCACACCCCCATGTTATCAGAAGTGTGGTCATCCAGCCACACCCACCTTTTGCTTCTTATTCTTTTTACCTTGTTTGTTGTCAAAACAGTTTTGACAAAACCAATAAAAACATTTTTTTAAAGTTTCCAATTCCATACTTTTAATAATTAATCTAAACCATACCATTCCACATCCAGACAGAGAGGAAAAAAGGATGGAACAAGGTGCTGCATTGTGGGATGGGGGTGAGAGGATTTCTGTCCCATCTATACAAAATCTTGCCTGAACCAATATCTTATGCCCAACAATTATTCCCACACTGGATTGGAATCAATTCCTAAAGGTTCCTATTGACAAAATAAAATCAACATGAGTTCATAAAACAGATTGGTGGTGGTGGAGGAAAGTGCTGTCAAGTCACAGCTGACATATGGCAACCCCCATAGGGCTTTCAAGCTATGTAAGCTTATTCCAGCAACTTAGCTCTATTTTCTGGAGCATATTGTCTACAGCAAGGATCCCTAATCTTTCTGAGCTTGTTGGCACCTATGGAATTCTGACACACCATGGTGAGTGCAACCACAAAATGGCTGCCCCAGAAGTCAGAGCCAACCACAAATGGCTGTAGCTTGCCTTCAGTCACACCTTGAAGACCCTTATGCTGTGGTGGTAGCCAAAGCAATGTTTTTAAATATTTGTACAGCCAATCGAATCTTCAACGACCAATCAGAAGATGTGCTGGGCAAAAGCCCCACCTGGCCCTGCCCAAAAACATTTGGTGGGTGCCAGAAAAGGTGTCATCAGGAGCCATGGGCATTGCATTGGGGACCTCCTAGTCTACAGATTAAAAGGACACATTGCACTGCTGCCTTGTTTAAATTCAGATATGCATTTTACTTTGCCATGATAACTGCAAACTTCACACCTTGATGTGAAGGTTTGATAAGGAAAGAATGTAACGTTTCCTGTTTTATAATAATTTCTTTTTGATTCTGTAGGACTGTCCAACTTGATTAAACATGTATTAGTTGATCCTAGCGTGAGCAATATTTCTAAGCATTTGATGCAATCAGATCATATTGTATAAATGCATCCTAAATGAACCACAAATGTGTTTAATAAATATTGAGTACTTTGTTTAATGTTACATCAGTCAAGATGTCCTGGCTTTCAATTAATTTTATCAATTAATTATGGATCTCAAATTATATAGGCTTAATTTTCTGCAAAACTGAATAAAGTTGGAGGCATGTAGCAAGTCACTTCTTTTGATACTCTGCAACACAGCATGGCCATGGAGCTAAAGACAGCACAGGTCAGCCACCAAATCCAAATCTGTAGCAGAAGCAGATTTTCAAACAAAGTCTCAAAGAAGAAAAACAAGAAGTATTATAACCCATCTTGCTTATTTGGACCCCAAATTGCTATGGCAAACAGATTTTTAAAAGTCATTGTTCTCCCCCCGATCATTACTCATTGTGGTCTCTAGGTGGAAGAAACTTGCTACAATCATGGTTTTGAGATGCTGTTATGGAAAGGTCTTCTGGTTACCATTTTGATATACTTGCTATGCATCCAGCTGGGTGGCCTTGGGCCAGTCACAGCTCTGTCAGAGCAGTTCTCTCAGAGGCCTCGTCTCAGTCCCACAGGGTGTCTGTTGTGGGGGAAGGGTCCGCAAGAGGGTGGTTCCCCCCCCCAACCTGGCCAGCAGCTGCAGGGAGGAGCCCACCAAGTTGAGAGCCCCGGAGCAGCGGGCCTACAGGGGCACACCGAGCTTGGGGGGGCACGCCGAGCTCCGGGGGGCGCCCTCCTCCGGCAGGGCTGTCCTCACCACCACCGCCTCTCCACACACGGCAAAGAGCTGCCCTGCACAGCACAGCCGGACTACAAGTGCGCCTCGGGGTTGAGAGGCAGACACCTCCACTTGGTCAGTTGGTCTCTCTGCCGCCTGGCTCCGGCACGTGCTGGGGAGGTGAGGGCAAGCCCAAGGCTCTAAAGCGCGAGGGGGCAGTGCAACCAGCGGAGCTGCAATGGGGGATGGCGGCATACGTTCCACAGAGCCCAGGCGAGCAGCACAGCCGGGAGGCCCCTCCTGCAGCCAGCGCCGGCCCAACAGCGGTCCTCTCCACGTGCCCGGGGCGGTAGCAAGTGCACGCTGTCATGGCAGTGGCGAGGCCTGGCCTCCTCCTCCTTGGCAGCAAGCGCAGAGCGGGCAGTGCCAGCACGGCAAGGGTGAGGGGAGAAGGTTGCTGCCGTGCAGGGGGGGGGGGAGAAGCTGGCTTAGTGGCCGCCTCTCCCACCTCACAGCACCAAGTCGTGTCAACCACAGGGGGCAGGTAGCAAAGGCGCCAGGTGGCGCCCTGCCTCCATTGTGCTGTAGGCATTGTTGCCAGGCCTCCCCCCCCCCCGGACCTTGCCAGAGTTTCCTTGGGGGCAGAGGCAGCAGCTGCTGCTGGGTGCCTGAACGCGACTGGCTGGCTGGCCCTCCCCGCACCCTGCTGCTCCTGCCGCCGCTGCTGTGCCTTTGCTGCCTGGTCCGGGTAAGCACAGTGGGAGCGCTCGGCCAGCCCTGGGAGAAGCAGCAGCGGAGGAGGAGGCAAGAGCTAGGCGGTGGTGAGAGAGGGGCAGCAAGGGGAGGGGCGGGCTTGGAAGCCAACCGGAACCCCGTTCCGAGGCATTCTGCCCCAAAAATAGCCCTGAACTTAACTCTCCTTCTTATGCTGGTTCCAATATACTATTAGCTGCAAGGTACAGATGGAACACTATGCCTGGGGCAGTAATGTTCTGTATTCTTGGTGTTTGGGCCACAACAGTGGGAGGGCTTTTGAAGTTCTGACCCTGCAGGTGGGCCTCCTAATGGCACCTGGTTTTTGGCCACTGTATGACACCGACTGTTGGACTAGATGGGCCACTGGCCTGATCAAATATGACTTCTCTTATGTTCCTATGTAATTAAATAGCATTTTAAAAGTAATAATGGAATTATGAGAAACTGGGGAGAAGTTAGGCTAAAGTTCACTTTCTGTTGTGGTGATGACAACCTGCATTACTCCTATATTTATTTATTCATATATTACAACACTTATGTTATAGCCCAGTTTGCTCAATCGGTCTTATTCATAGGAAAATGTTCTTAACACTGCAGCGTTAGAATAATAGAATTAGAGTTGGAAGAATCAGAGTTGGAAGAATCAGAGTTGGAAGAATCAGAGTTGGAAGAATCAGAGTTGGAAGAATCAGAGTTGGAAGAATCAGAGTTGGAAGAATCAGAGTTGGAAGAATCAGAGTTGGAAGAATCAGAGTTGGAAGAATCAGAGTTGGAAGAATCAGAGTTGGAAGAATCAGAGTTGGAAGAATCAGAGTTGGAAGGGACCTCCAGGGTCATCTAGTCCAACCCCCTGCACAATGCAGGAAATTCACAAATATTTATTTATTTATTTATTTTTATTTATTTATTTATTTATTTTGGGATTTCTATCCCGCCCTAATTGTATGCAGCCAAGGTCTTAATAATAAAAGCGTCCCGATGTAACAGACCAGTCAACCTCCATAGGTCTGGTAGATGGACAGGCTGCGGAGGTGGCGCAGCGATGGTAATGGCGTAACGATGTTAATGGCGGCGGCTCCTACCCAAAGGCCTGGTGGAA